CTGCGATGACCTAACGCAAACTCCATTTCTCGTCGAAAACAGAAAAAGAGGGATTTAAGACATTTGGCCTACAGGCCAGTGTAAAAATCACCATTTGCATGCTAATTGTGCCTTTGCCAAATTTGCATATGTCAGCACTATACAAATTAGGTAAAGGCATTAATTAAGCATGCGAAAGGCTAATTTTTTAGAGAGCTAATTTTTAAGGGCTTAAACTAAAGCAAATTGTCTGAAATTTTGTACAGTAATTAAAAACCCAACAAATGTTCCATCTATCAACTCAAAATATGATTGAAGCTTTTAAATTTCTTGCGCAAGCCATTTTTAGTTTGTTGGAAAAGACACCCCCCCCCCTGGATTACACAATTTGAGTTCGAGAAATTTTTTCCATTTTTCTACATTATAAGTACGCAGAGAAGCTATATACATAAAAAACTGGATACTAATAGCTGTTTTGCTAATTTAAGAGCAATTTCAAATCTGTGTACTTTTTTTTATACACCCTGTATATATATATATATATATATATATATATATATATATATATATATATATATATATATATATATATATATATATATATATATATATACCAAATATGTATTTAGAATCATATATGAGTAGAGTGCTCGATATACCGAAGTATAGAGCTAATACAGATAAAGATAAAATAAACCTGGTTTACTTCATAAGATTTATTCACAATAATAAAATGTGAATAATTCTTATGAAGTAAACCAGGTTTATTTTATCTATATCTATATCTATATCTATATCTATATATCTATATATCTATATATCTATATATCTCTATATCTCTATATCTCTCTATCTCTCTATATCTCTCTATATCTCTCTATATCTCTCTATATCTCTCTATATCTCTCTATATCTCTCTATATCTCTCTCTATCTCTCTATATCTCTCTCTATCTCTCTATCTCTCTATATATCTCTATATCTCTCTATATCTCTCTATATCTCTCTATATCTCTCTATATCTCTCTATATCTCTCTCTATCTCTCTGTATCTCTGTATCTCTGTATCTCTCTATCTCTCTATCTCTCTATCTCTCTATCTCTATATCTCTATATCTCTCTCTATATATATATATATATATATATATATATATATATATATATATATATATATATATATATATATATATATATATATATATATATATATATATATATATATATATATATATATATTTAGAATAGAGCGTATATATTTAGAATAGAGCGTTCCGTAGTCTATGAAAGTCGTATGGTTGCATGGGAGGAACCTGGAGATAAAAATTTCGTGAAGACCAACTGAGTATTTTGTGCTAAATCTGCGCCTAATCAACCTAAACACTGTGTCCTAGTTGATCAGGCTTTCGAATTCAGGGAAAAATGTCTGTCAGCCGTAGGTCGTTGAGCCCATATAGCGAAACATAGCTACGTATTAGGGTTTCCATCAAATTTTGAAATTGCAAATTTTTAGTTTCACAGCTAGACTATTATTTTCATCCCCTGATTGCTTAATGGGCTAAACCAACTTCAGTACAGCTAGTACAGTTCCCCTCGTTGTTTTCTGTGTATAACTAAATTATTTAAAACTGGATGAAAGTTTTAAAAAAATGTACAGTGTATAACTAACCTGTTTAGCCACTGTCTTAGACGCCACTTCCATTCCAAACAGGAACAGACTGATGAGAAAAACAATGTTTGAAATCATTTTCTTCTTGTCGTTATTTTCTTTCCAAAACGCTAAACTGACTGTTGTGTTGCTTGGTCTGAGATGCAAGAGGTAATACAAGCGCTGATAATGGGATACTGTATTAGTATTGTAAATGGCTACGTGGCCGCTTGAGAATGTAGAGGAAGTTCAACATTCTCAGCAGACTGCTGAAACCATGGAATGTGCGAGTCTCACATTTTGGTGGTAATTAATTCCAGTGCATGAGAACTTCCATGCATGGACAATATATGAATGTATATATACAATAACGTTAACGTAATTATATATATAAGTGAACGTTATCATTCGCCTATAGCCTGTGTCACAGGCCTAGTTTGTGATCAACAATGACAATGTAAATTATCGAGACGCCTTAGCATTCTCCCGAGTTATCACCTTGAAGGAATGTAGCCACTGGGCGAAACTCTACAAGAAATTCTTTCAGTTTGTTTGTGACAGTCTGTTTTATCTTAGCATCCATGTTTATCCCAAATGACACCTACACGTAATAATCCACTATTCATGTCATGATATGGATTATTAGGATCCGACATAGATTATTATTGTTTGTAAACTTTTCTTGTGGTTAACGATTTTGCTTTCACTTTAAATAAAAGGATTCTTAAAATAAATGTATCACCCTATTCACCTGCCATGCATAAAGGAAATTTAACTGAGGTAACTTGTAGCAACTTTTATCATCAACTATTATCATCAGAAGAGCCGTTTAATGTCAGCATTAATTCTGATCACAAAGCAAACAACTTAAACTAAACTAGCAAAAAAAGATTTTGTTGTTTTAAAACGTCTTCACAAATATCTACCAAACCACCAGTTGGTTGCAGAATGGAGACTAGCATGCAACAAAACTTGTTATGTTCGTGACCCGTATAACATCCAAATTCATTCTCGCTCGAAATACAGGGTGTATAAAAAAAAACGCAACCTCGGAATTTCCTAAGAAATCACTTTGCAATTCTTAAAGGCCGGCGCACACTAGAGCTATGTGCTTAGCAAAATGTCATTCGTGACTGTTGGCGTAAGGAGATAGCTCTCGTGTGCGGGCGATTTACGAACGACTTTTGTCATTCGTGTCACTTACGCCAAATATCTAACATGTTTGATAATTTCTGCCTCGCGTGCCAAAATCTTTCCGTGTGCGGCGAACGAAAGCTATCTGCTTACGGATTGTCGTAACAGCGCATGCGTAGTATACGAAAGTAAACATCCAAGATGGCGGCGCAAAATGAATTGCTGGCCGAGGCAATTTTAGAGGACAAACTTGTCGAACTTTGGCCTGAATATAAATGTTTATACGATGTGAGTTCTGTAGATTTTAGAAATAGGGACAAAAGGGAATGTGCGGTGAAAGAAATAGCCAGTACGTTTGTCCTCTAAAATTGCCTCGGCCAGCAATTCATTTTGCGCCGCCATCTTGGATGTTTACTTTCGTATACTACGCATGCGCTGTTACGACAATCCGTAAGCAGATAGCTTTCGTTCGCCGCACACGAAAGATTTTGGCACGCGAGGCAGAAATTATCAAACATGTTAGATATTTGGCGTAAGTGGCACGAATGACAAAAGTCGTTCGTAAATCGCCCGCACACGAGAGCCATCTCCTTACGCCAACAGTCACGAATGACATTTTGCTAAGCACATAGCTCTAGTGTGCGCCGGCCTTTAAGCATAAAATATTTTAGGCCCCTGGGAATTGAAATCGCATTGCTAATACATCATATTACTGTTGTTGTACATTAAATAAATGCATAAATTTTGCTTTATGCACTCGCGTGTGCAGTACTTTTGACAGTTGTGCTATTTTAAATTCCCAGGCGCCTAAAATCTTTTGTCTTTAAAACAATGTCGATTTCTTGGGAAATTCCGAGGTTGCGTTTTTTTTTTATACACCCTGTACAGGGTGCATAAAAAAAAACTGAACCCTTTCAATACAAATACGCACATTAATGTATATGATACATAAGTACACAGCTATTTCAATTAAGATTTAAGGTTGTTCCCGAGCTAAGCGGAAAAGTCGAATACAAACGCGAAAGGCTGTTTAACACAATACTAAAATGCGGTGCTCTACAAATAAAACTTCCGGCGTTCCGTCTGCAAGTAATGTTATATTTAGTACGCTATATACATTCTTCTGTCGGCCGCCAGTTGGTCCGTACGCAAGGCCATTAAACTACGCTTTCAAACATTCAAAAGAGAATATTTTGGGGCTTTTGGGCTCAAAATACTATCAAGATGAAGAGAGAAATGAGACGAATCCACTGGTATATGGCCGAAAAAGAGAAAACCAACGATACCAAAGTTATCAAGGATCAAACGCACTGCATTTTTAATTAGTTTAATAATTTTGAGGAATTTGTCAACAATACAATTTCGCTTGGCTTTCAAAGACAAAGGCCATAAATCGCCAGAATACTGTTGTTTATATAGTATAAATACATTTGACAGTCGTAAGTACAATTTCTTACGCTGAATCGAACCTGATCGAACGGTGGTATTTTTATCCTTTATGTATTGCGCCATAAATTTATACAAATACAATATCATGTTTCACACTACAGCTTTCACCTTTCAGTTTCCACAATATAAAGGGACTGTTGTTGGAAAAATTTTATATTGATATGACACCAATATGTATGTTTGTGATGTTACTCTGAGTGCATATCCACACCGGGCGAGCTTGAAAAATATGCCCGGCCACGGTGGGATATTTTTCAAGCTCGGGCATATTTTTCAAGCTCGCCCGGTGTGGATATGCACTCAGAGTAACATCACAAACATATTATTCACCTGAGTACACAACACCAGCACAGAAAAAATTGACACCAATATGCTTCTCATAAAGTATTTATCTATTATAAAACTACGTTGTGTAGTTTAAGTTATAACCTTTTACCTTGAAATTGTATTTGGCTCGTTTTAATAGATTCAGATTCAGTATATCATGGTCCGTGCACGGGAATTTAACGATCCAAATTTCGGATTTTCAGAGTCGTGCACCAAGAAAAATGCATTAACTAAACTAGCAAGAATGTCCAGAGTTAGACACAAGGCAAAATCCATAGAAAACAGGTACAATTCGTTGAAAATTTTAACGAATCAAATTGTTTGAAACATTTGTCCACTCCACGAAATTGTTTGAAACATTTTGCCCACTTGGTGACGTTGCTGTTTCCACGTCGAAATTCCTTGTAAAATTGTTCAATTTTCCCGAATTTTCCTCAAAATGCAGGGTTATTTATGGATAATTTGGGTAAAATTGGCAGGAGCCTTACGGATAATTTGGGTGAAAATTAGGCAGCTCATTAATATTCTATTTTGTGGCTATCGACGATTGGAGATTGCCGATCCAAGAATGCTGCCGAAACCTTTTCTCACCTGGACACAAGTGCCCCAGCGAGTAATAAATATAAAAATGTTATCGATCTTTGGAGTTACACTTGTTTTGTGTTTTGTTAAAATACTCAGTGGTTCTAAAAATTTCTACCGTTACTACCGTATGTAAGAATAAATGCCACCTTCATAATAGAGACTTTTTATCTACTGAACGGCCTTAAAGTGCGAAAAATCATTTACGCGGTACCTTATTTGCGTCATCTATCGCAGAACTTGCAGGCACCACCAGGGCTTGTCCAGCAACCCGCATTGAAGGTGGAATCATCTCTGGTGGTAGTGTCTGTGGAGGCTCGATGCCCTTAACCTGCAAACAATATGAGTTAAATTTAGTGAATATGTTTTGTGTGTTTGCTGGGGGAAGGGAACGGAATCATTCAAGTATAGGAAAGCCCACCTTTTGATGAATAAGATACATCGCAAGACAAAATTGTTCACCGTTCAGTCGCCCCGTGTTGTTCACATCACATAAACCCCTGCAAGAATAACACAAAAATTAATACTTTAAGCATCTGTCACATCTGTGACCAGCATTCGCTTCTTGAATATGCTGCTTTCGGATGATAGTTTTTACCGTAATTATACTATAATTCAAATATACCATTAACGTATGGCATTTACATTTTATATACAATAGAGCATACAGTTTAGGATTGATAGAGCAATCTAGTAATATGAAAGGTGAATTTAAAAAAGTTCTTTTAGAACAACATTCATGCATCAACTTACCATATGTGAGCAAGGAGAGGCTGTGGTAACCCAGACGCCATAAATATATTCTTCACTTCATCACCTATAAAACGATTTCTCCTTGAAAAAACTATCGAACGGCCAAAACGTAACAATATATATACTTTGTAGATGTTACTGAACATTAACAATAATTAAATAGTGTAACCATGGATAATAAAATAAATGGATAGGAAACTAGCTGACTTGACCTAATGTTTTCAATGGGCTGATGGCGTGGTTGGATGTTGAAACCTAGTTGCAAACCAAATTCTCAAAAACGGCATGTTTAGCAATAATACAGCTAAACATTTTAGTCAAAGAGCAAATAAATATAACTACGCCATTCTACGATGAAATCTCTAAGTATTCCCAGTCAATTTTAGCAAATATTTCAAGCACTAAACAGTGAAAAATGCATCGCAAATTTCGTTAAAATTGACGACGCCAATTTCGTAGCTACAAATGTAAAAAAATACAAAACAAAGACGAAAGACACTTACCTTGAATATTTTGTCGTGGCTTAGGCACGTTTTTAAAACAATCAGACCAGTTTATGCTTCAATATTACTCTTTTAAAGCGGAAAATATAGCGAAACAACAAAAATGCCGAGAACTTTGGCAATACACGTGACATCACAGATTGCAACTAGGTTTAGACTGTGACGTCAGGAAGTTTCCTATCCACTTATTTTACAATCCATGGTGTAACCAACAAGAATAGTGTAAGATGAAATACCTGTTACTAAATTATCATTATCTTTATCGGCAGTTTTGAACAACGCGTCATATTTTGATTTTTCCGCAGCGGTAACAACCCATGGTGCCTCTTTTGATCCCTAAATAACACAAACATTAAAGGCGTTGGTGCAGGGTATGTTGGTTATAGATGTGCCACTGCAACTGGGTTTCAAATCCTACAATATGCAATTAGTGAAGTTGGAAAATTCAGTGAGCCCGCGACATTCAGACCAAAGTTAAGAAATGGCGTGTCTCCAAAGGGGCATTCTAGTGGCCTAGCGCGAGATGCTGATAAAGTTTTGAAGTTGAAGAACCTTACACTTTTAATTATTTCATAATAATTATGTTACTTTTGGCAGATATAAATTGGGAAATTGCTAGCTAATTGTAAATGAGAAAAAAAAGAATTTTTAAGACCCTGAGTATAACAAATATACAGTAGTTAGATTACAGTTTATTTTAGAGATCAGTAGATGAGCTTAGTTCAGAGATACTGTAAGTAGATTTTTACAGTACTGTTGTACATACAATTCCCTTTCCTTGTGCAGCCATTTCTACATTTAAGGATACCAAATATATATATAGGTGCCCATTAGTGCGGCGTGCTTACATGTAAAACCGTAGCTGAGACCATATTGGGAGTAGGTGAGACGCCAGGTGATATGTTAGGTGAACCCCGGACTAGAGATCTTTTAGATGGTGGCACAAGTCTGGAAGGTAAGATATGTGGAACTGTCTCTCCGTCCAGAGCTTTGTACACTAAATACATCGCCTAGAAATAAATCATCGTTATTGTGAGCTGGTAGAAGTATTATTTCAAAAAGTTATTGAAATCAATGAAATTACCAAAAAGTTATTGAAATAATTATGGCTTCTCAAATAAAATGCAACATTACTATAAAGCAACCCGATTCCATTCCAGGACAACCTCATCGAACATAAAATTATGGAACAAAATATTATGAAAACTTTGAACTTAAATATTCCGTTCTTTTTATTTTGTAAAATGTCTTCAAATAAATATTTTATTATTACATCTTATTCCAGGGTTTAGATGGTTACATTATACACTCTGCACCCGAGGGAAATAGTTAGTTTTGTTTTCCCGAGAATCTCAATGTTTCCCAAGGGAAACATTGAGATTCTCGGGAATTATTTTCCCAAGGGAAACATTGAGATTCGAGAATCTCAATGTTTCCCAAGGGAAACATTGAGATTCGAGGGAAAACAAAACTAACTATTTCCCGAGGGAAAAGACGTTAAGTGTTTTGTTATATAGCGACGAAACAAATATCAACATTGAACTACATTCATACAACAATATTTGTATTTCATGACAAAAACTCTATAGCGTAAACGAGTTTAAAATTTAAAAAACCTACTTAAATGGTTTCAGCAGCATATCCTGTTGTCTGTTATGTATTTTTCTTCTCTTTTACATTCTTTATTTTAACACAAAGCCACGAAAACAGTAGTTTAAATAGTATAAATTTGTGCCGCCATTTTGTTTATTTATGTACTACGTAGCCGGTCGGGGCGGGCAACAATTTTTCACTTATTGCCCGGGCGGGATACATTGCATTTATCTAAAGCCAGGTGACTACAAATCAGCCAATCACGTTTGGTGTTCACACTAGCTATATAACAATGACTAATAATGGTTGGGTTTTTTTCGAGTTCGCTCTTTTTAGCCAACCATTTATATTCAAGTGTATAGCCTTCAGATAATTCAGTTCGCAGTCCTGGGAGAGTTTCTCGACAGGGACACGTATTCATCCCCAAATAGATTGCAGTGGAGGTGCAACACATTTTTACAACACTTTTAAAGAAGATCTTGATCATACACTTTTTCGTACACTAACTCACTAAGTATTCACTTTTTGAAACGTTCGTTCGACACGCAATTGTGTTAATGGATTTTTATCTGGTCCCAATTAGCTCAGTACACTAAATTTACTTACAACAGCAAATTCGTCTTTATCTAACATCCCATCCTTGTCTATATCAGATAGATCCCACACTCGTCCCAGTACATCTACCTGAAGCTTTGAGTTTAGCAGCACCTGGAATACAATGTACGTCCTATTGAGAACAATCTGCCTGAATAATAATACATGTCATCTGCCATTTACTGTAACCACAATTCGTTGAAACAAAATTTATGCCGTTTCAAAAAGCTGTAACTTTACTTTGCCACTTCATACTGTACATGCGAACGTTTAGGTCCCCATGGATGTCATGCATAATTTCCTGATACGAGGGCTTTCGTTCGAAACGTAGAAGTTTGTTCTATTTTTCAGGTATTTTTCATTATACACACAAGCCTGCATGCAAATTGTATTCTTCGTTACCTGCACTGACCCCAGTATTCTTAATACTGCATGTGACGTTATAAGTAGAGCTGAATCTCAACACGGCGTGTTAATAGCAATAAACATGCGGCATACTTACTGGTTTGACTTTATCGCCAGACAGTAAACCATTGACAGGAACCAAAGACTATAAATATAATATGAGTTAAAGCGTTTGCATTCTGATAAAGATCAATGAAATCAATGAATAAATTGAAGTAATCGCTAAAGAACTTTGAGAAACATTATATATACCTCAAAAATACCATCATATTTAGTTTTCTCAACTCCCTAAATAAAATATTATTCTGTACAATTATGTTCGTTCCGCGACGTACAGATTAAAATCTTGGCAAGCAAGATTTAACGCAACGCAGCATCCATGAGGAAAAACCCCTTTTAAACGTTATTATAAATTAATGCATGCAAAACATCTATGGAATTATATATTAACCATTATAAAACCATGTACTGTAAATGATAATAAAAACAATTACAATATAATAAACGATACAATGTTATTACTGAAAGGCTAGACAGGTGCGATGTGAGAGAGTAACAACTACACTAGAAAAAATAAGCAGAACTACTGCAGCTGTCTGCATTTATCGTCGCACACATGATAACAGTCCGCTATCACACCGCATGCAGCTGTCTGTTATCGTTCCTATAGTACCTATAATTTTGAACTGTCTGTGCCAGTGTAGGTAGTATACCAATAATAGGAACAAACTTTCGTTGGTAGGGATGCAACTATACCTGAACAATATAAGGAGAATTTTGACGTTTCAAGCGACGTTTCAAGCGACGTTTCAATTGACTAGATACTTCTTATTATTCCAAAGTAGAAAATACTGTAGCATCCTCGTCATCATTCGATCAAAGTAGACTCGACAATGATGATCATGATGACGGGGACGATACTAAGACTAACGATAATGAAAATGTGAACCCTCTAGACCCAATTACTCCGACCACGGACCAATATGACAAGGTTTACCCAAAACTCAAGGGATTCAAAATAGGGCATTTAAATATTGCAAGTTTGGTAAAGCATAAAAACGAATTATTGGTATTTCTGGCTAAACTCCCTTTTGATATAATTTGTATCAATGAAACTCGACTTGACGACTCCATAGACAACTCTGAGGTTAAATTACCAGGTTACGATTTGATAAGAAAGGATAGAAACCGCAATGGAGGAGGAGTGGCTATCTACCTAAGGGATGTTATTCCCTATACTAATAGAGCTGACTTAATTCCAGTTAATGCAGAGGCAATTTGTCTTGAAGTTAAAAAACTGAAAGCTAAACCAGTTCTAATTAGTACTTGGTATCGTCCACCAGGTTCTAATATGGAATTCTTTAATGATTTTGAAAATTTCATAAAAGTGATTGACAATGAAAACAAAGAAATAATCATAACAGGTGATTTTAACTGTGATATGCTGGACAGCAACTATAGGAATAGCAACTCCAAACGATTGGATGACCTACTAGATATCTACCAACTACAGCAACACATTGATAAGCCAACCCGAACAACTGACTCGACAAAAACACTAATAGACATTATAATTACAAAAAGTGACGACACCAAAACATCTGATTCAGGAGTGATTGCTTTGGGAATAAGTGACCATGATCTGGTGTATATTTGTAGGAAAATAGGAGTACCCAGAAAAACGCCGAAAATAGTAGAAACAAGACAGTTTAAACATTTTAACGAAAACGAATTCCAACAAGACTTAGCACAAGCGTTTAACTACTTTACATACAACTCTGATCCAAATCTTGCCTGGCAGGAGTGGAAGGACATATTTTTGTCTATTCCTGACAACCATGCTCCCTATCGTACTAGAAAAGTTAGAAACGAGCATTGCCCATGGTTGAACAATGAAATTAAAAAACTTAGCTATCATCGAGATTACCTTAAAAAAAAGGCAGTGAGACTAAATTCTGCTGCTTATACCGAGGCTTATAAAAGATGCAAAAACCAAGTTACCAAACTTATTAGGGATGCAAAAGAACACTATTATAAAACAAATCTGGAACAATGCAAAAATAGTAAAGATAGCTGGAGATTTATTAATCATTTACTCAACAGGAGAACGACTACAACAACAATCAACCAGATCACAGTTAATGGACAAACAATTACTGGTAACGATAATATAGCAAACGAGTTTAACAATTATTTTTGTGAAATTGGCCCTAAGCTTGCACAAACTATACCACCAAGTAATGTAGACCCACTTCAATATATTACTGCTAATTCTAACAAGTTTACGTTTAGACAAATCTCACCAGCAGAATTATGCAGAATACTAGATGATATTAAATTAGGGAAAGCTGCAGGACTCGACAAAATCACAAACAAACTGTTAAAGGCTGCAGGCTATACCATATGTGAAACCTTGCTTTATATTTTTAACTTGATCCTAGACGTTGGTGTACTTCCAGACGACTTAAAACAGGCTAAGGTTACGCCTATCTATAAGGAAGGTGACAAAAATGAATGCGGAAATTACAGACCTATATCTGTCATACCGGCAATTTCAAAAATGTTAGAGAAAATAGTTTATAACCAACTCCTCAATTTTCTGAATGACAACAAAATAATCACAAACCGCCAATCTGGCTTCCGTAAATATCACTCTACTGAAACTGCTCTCTTGCAAACAACCAATAAATATTTAATGAATATGGATAGAGGCTTAATAAACGGTGTCTTGTTTCTTGATCTCAAAA